GTACAGATAAGCAGGCTGTAAGGTCTCTTAGGTTCTCTATTTTGATGAGCAATTTAATTTTATTCCAGAAATCCTTTCCCCTGTATTGGTGATGGATTTATAACTACATATTTTACATCTACCTTAATCTTACAGATATTTTTTTAAGATTTTATTTGAGAGAGAGAGAGAAAGAGAGAGAGAGAGCATGTGCATGGGGGGGAGGACAGAGGAAGAGGGAGAGATAGAATCTCAAACGGACTCTCCACTGAGTGGGGAGCTGGATGTGGGGCTCGATCCCAAGACCCTGAGATCACAACCTGAGTCAAAATCAACAGTCAGATGCGTAACGGATTGGACCGCCCCGGAGGTCCTCATAGATTTTAGACAGTCTCCCTGGGTGATTCTAGTGTACACTAAAGCCTGAGAACCATTTTTTTTTTAAGATTTATTTGAGAGAGAGAGAGAGAGTGCACAAGTGGGGGTAGGGGCAGAGGAGACATGGACCCCTGGACCCTGAGGTCATGACCTGAGCTGAAGGCTGATGCTTAACCGACTGAGCCATCCAGGTGCCCCAAGCTTGAGAATCATTGTAATAAGCAAAAACAGAGCTCCTTCTCTTTCAAATGTCCACAAGGGGTGAAATAGCAAGAATCCAAAGACTTAGCATTCTTTACATGATTCATATATGGGAGGTGATATATAGAATCACAGAATTTTGGAGCTAAAAATGTTCTTATGGATCATTTAAGCCTCTCATTTAACCTCCTCATTTAGTAGGCCAGCAATTCATACCCAGAGTTTCATTGTTTAGGGCAGAACAAAAATTGGAATCCTGGTATTCTGAATTTCAATCTACTGTTTTTTTTTTTTTAAGATTTTATCTATTTATTTGACGGATAGAGAGCACAAGTAGGCAGAGAGGCAGGCAGAGAGAGAGAGAGAAGCAGGCTCCCCACTGAGCAGAGAGCCTGATAAGGGGCTTGATCCCAGGACCCCAAGATCATGACCTGAGCCGAAGGCAGAGGCTTAACCCACTGAGTCACCCAGGTGCCCCCAATCTACTGCTTTCTTTAAGATGATTGTCATGGACATTTGTATGAGTGGTGAAATGAACAACTCTTAAGTATGCCAATCATATTGTGGACATGCTTATATATTAGTACAGTTTTTTGATAAATAGTAGTAAATTTCTAACAAAATTAGTATAGATGATTTTTCCAATAGACGCAAGCTGAGTATCTTGAGGAAGGGCTAGCGTTTTCTAATATGCACAAACATGTAACCTGGGCTTGTGACAGGCAGCCTCTCCCCTCCCCACTTTTTTGATATAACCATCTGACTAATACAGAATGTGCTAGGCTCTAATCTCAGTAACAAATACAACACAGATGGTTTATGGAAATTTGAATTGTTCAAACTTGAAGAGGCTGATATAGAAAAATTTTATAAAGTTTTGCTGTACAAAACTGCAACTCCCTACAAAGCTGGCAAGCACTGCGCATTCCAAGTCAGCTGACCGGGGAATTGCAAACCACTTTTGTGGACTGGGATGCAAGGGTACTGCATTGTATCCACGGCCCAGTGTGACCCACGTTCTTACTGATGTCCGTTGGAACCTACACATGTGATTCTGGTGACCACTGTACTGCCATTTGCATTACAAACCTTTAGCTCAGAAGTTATAGATGATAAAACACTCTGCAGTCTTAATCATTACCATTGATAATTGACCATCTGTTAATTTTGGAGGGAGCACACTCTGAAAAGTACCAGGGAGAGTGATGTAAAAATAGAATACAGCATTAGGACCCCCAAAACCAACCCCCACAGCAACAGCATCTTCCATCCCAACAATATTCTTCTGTGAAAACGGATCTTAAATGATGAGTATGTTAAATTAAGTCATGTGTTCAAGAAAGCATCATACACACAAAATGCAGCTTCCCTTACTTTAAAATTTTTTCATTTCTTCAAGTGATTCTAACCCCTGCACCTATGTCTGAAAGGCTGTGTAAACTGGAAAGAGCCCTAGGGCTTTCCAATTTAGTATTATACTTACTAGTCCACCAAGGGGAGAGAATCCTTTGGTAGGTATCCCAGGAGTCAGATCTGTGCTTGCAAGTTTTAAATTCTTTTGAGTACACAGTGAGATGGATCATTGTGTAGAATAACACTTTGGTTATTTTTACTCCAGGTTCTAATAGGGCTTGAGGTTGTTGCCAAGTCACCTTCGCAGGTGTCTCCACAGGCTTACCTTCATTATGGCTATTCAGTTAATTAAAAGAGGGCTAAGTATTCTTCTCCCCCGCCCCAAATGATTAAAGGATTAATGAGCTAATAAGCACAAAACACTTCTAACCTCATGAAATGAGTCTACAGACCCGGGACATGGCATGTCCTGTAGTCTAAAGGGTGGCATCAGCAGATGAACAGAGCTGGACCACCTGCTCCCATGTCTCCCCCCTCCCGCCGCCTGCCACCTGGTACTGATGCTGGTGACGTCACCCAGTCCTGGATCCTGGCTCACTGGACCACAGGCTATGCATGTGCTTAGTGGGCCCAGTAAAACAAGGGCAGTGAAATTTCTAAATTTTGATTGTCAGTATTTATAAAAAAGCATCAAAGGGGTGATGGTGAGGGCAAGTAGAGCTCTGTTAGAGGCTTACATTTATTCTATGGTTTGGTATTGTTTGCATTTGGATTACACAAATGTGGGCCATAATTATTTCAGTGCTTAGTGTTTCTGAAGGTCACATTATAGCCCAAAGTCTACCACTCACTTTAAAACAAATTTCACCAAAAATCTTCAACAACTTATTTGTGAAAATCCTTTCTTTCCAAGGAGGCAATCCTCACAAAGAACCAAACTTCACCAACACAGATATATGAGAACACGTTGGGCACTGCTACAAATCTAAGAAAATTAAATCTTGTTTGGCTAGGGAGTAGCCCCTGCTTTGTGTCAAGGGTTGGTCTGAACAGGTATAGACTGAATTTTTAGAGCCATCCTCTCAATGACTTACGGGTAAGCGTGGAGTCCTAGGATTTGAGGAAACATGTTCTTTCTCCATTTTTTTCTCCAACTAAGAGATGGGCTTGCCACGCTCTGGGTGAGCCTTGTTGCCACTTGTCATTTCCAAATACACACAACTTCTTGACTCTTGTACTATCTCGGAGGTATGTGCGTGCACATAAAAACAAAAGCTATATATTTCCATCACGAATTTCCACATTTGGATCCCCTCCAGACACCATTCTGAATATGACATTCTGCTGCAGAGTCCTAAAAATGGTGCTTTCCTCAAAATAAAACCTTTAAAGATCCCTTAGTAGCTATTCAGGGACTGGAATTCAATTTCAATCCTCCACCCTTTGGTCAGCTGTAGATTCAAAATGCTTCCACAAAACACTGAGGGTATGTACTTCAGGGCAAATCTGATTTTTCTTCTGCAATAGAAATGTGTGTTATAGTCACCACAGACTGTATTTTTACTTAGAAAATACCCAAAGCAATAATGCGCCTCAACAAGAAAGAACAAATTTTTATTTTATTTTATTTTATCTTATTTTATTTTATTTTATCGGTAGCTTTGATATAAGCTTCAGATAGACCCACTTACTACATGGAGTTTGTGAAATCTACACCTTCAAATCATAATACTCTCTATTTTAGGCCATTACATCTAAAAAGCTCAACTTCTCAAATCCTTTTATTCCAAGTAGTTCTTGCACGTAAATGTTACATCACAATAGCAAAAAAATGTAAACTTCTTTTGCAAACTACATAAATACTATAACTGCCTTGAAGTTATTCTTATTTTAATATATTCTAAATTCTTTATATAAAAAACTTTGGTCAGTAGCCTAGGTGTATGACACTTTTTTTTTTTTTTTTCCACTGACTAGCTTTTCATGTTGTTTACTTAGTTCTTTGAAGGTGAAAATTTTAAAATTGAGCACGGATCAAAATTCAGTCCATAAGTAAGACAGGTACCAGAAATATATGATGGTAAGTGTGGGCAAAATATGAAACAAGAAAATTATTCCACATACTAAGTCTGACAAGCCATCAGTGGTATGGAGGTAACTGAAGATAAAGGCTCAAGTCAACCTCATATTTTATCCTATGTGAATGGAATTCAGCCCATTTATCAATATCACCTTTCACCCTGCTGTATGTCTGTATGTCTATTTGCAAATGAATCACCTCTTTCTCATTTCTTTTAGAACACAACAGGTCATTTTTACAGCTATAGTCCTAGACTGAACAGTCTGGATGGCCAGTGACTTTCTTTCACCATTACTGTCCTTGAGGTCTTTAAATACAAATTAGAAATGTTTAAACATACAGGTGTGTGCACACACCCATGTACACTTAGATGACCACATCAAGGCCTTTTTTCCTGCTTCAAGAAAAGTTTCTAACATTTACCTTTTTTTGTTAGTAACTAAATCTTCTTCCTCAAAATGTTCTTTTAGTTAAAAATCAAGTCTAATCTGGAGCCCTTACTGATTTGTGACTCTGAGATCCCTACTGAACACCGAGCTATGGGCCATGGTTTCTTTGAGGAAACAAATATCATAGGTGAAGCGTTTTCAAAATTTTAAATGCATGCAGAAAGAACTACATAGGCTTTCCAAGCAGCTACATCAAGTGGCTCAAGTAACATTATTATTTATCTTGGCTTAAGCCCTCTATCAACAACATCCTTTTAAAACACAAAGAGAATGGCTACAAGATGGCGGCAGGGCCCGGAATGGTGCTCTGAGCGGTTCCAAGGACATCACTGAGGGTTCCACTGCACTGTCTTCCCTCATTTGTGCATTTTCTCCAAATGCATCGTGTCCCCTCTTTGCTGCCCATGCTTTGAAACTATGTAAAATAATTTTTCAAAAAAAATCCACCAGTGGTTGAGACCTGAAATAACACTGTAGGTGGGCATTGTTAGAGACAGGCAGCCATTCTTCACAGCTCCTCTTCCAGAGGAGGCCCTTGTGGGCATGGGGACACCCACAGCTTAGGAACTGTTCTTGTTGCAAACCGTGCCTTGGCTGCTACTGTCTTCCTTATACTGGCTGCCCGTGTCACTCCTGCTGAGGATGGTGGAGGGGAGGCGGGAGGGACGTCTGTCCAGGTTCCTCTCCTGAGAGAAGCAGCAGATCATCTTCTTCATGGTGCTGTACATGTCCTCGTCCTTGTAGGAGTAGATGATGGGGTTCATGACGGAGTTCAGCAGTGCCAGCAGCAGGAACCACCTTTTGACGTGCTGCACGCCACACTGCGTGCAGTTCAGGCCATCGAGCAGCAGAACCACCAGGCCTGGGGTCCAGCACACGACAAAGGCCCCTGCGGGGAGACAAAAGGAAGCAGGCTGCTTACTGAGGTTTCTTCTGGCCCAGCTTTCAGTCAGTGGCACCAAGGGACCTTAAGGATCTGTTTTGACAAATGCAGAGCACACTTCCACCCTTCCTCTGAGCGCTTGAGACCTGGGCTTATTAGACACCAACAGCCGGGCACCCCCTTGACTGTCCACCATGTTCTATTTCAACTCCTTAGCTGCTTACCCAAGCACTCCACAGACCTTTTCTCTATCAGCTCTCTGAACCACACTAGGAGGCTACTGTGGTCATCATCCCTGCTTTGCAGATGAGAAAACCAAGGCCAGATGCCAGGAGTATATGTGGAAAGGCCTCACACCCGATGCTCCACTATTCTCTAACTCAGATATTCTAAATGCTCTCCTGACAAGAAGACACACCGCATCTTTGGCATTCTCCTCCTCTCTTCCGAAGTCCCCTGCTCTCGAATGCTATTCTTTATAAATCCATGTTGGTGCTGAGTAAGCACCGTATTCTTTTTGACAGATTCATGGGCCATCTGTTTAATTCTCTGTTCTGGGTTCAGTTTTTTGTTCTCGTTGGTTGTTGTCAGAAATAAATCTTTCTGTTTCATGATGAGGTAGAGATGTGCTTGTAGCAGATTGATTGATTTAGCACAATTTTAGCACCAACTGCACATGGAGGGGAGTGTCTTCTGAGTCCCTAGACATCTGATCATACTTGGCTAACCACTAAAGCTTCGGACACGTTTTCCTTAAAATATAAGACCGAGGTTCAAGTATTCCCCTACTTTGTCGCCATCACCTTGGGTATCAGCGAGAGCTCAACTCCATACAATGCTTACTATGAGCCGGGCACTGGTGTGAATGCCTTCCTTTATTAACTGGTAGAACCACACTGTGAGGCGGGCCTTGTTATCATCCCCAGGAAAAGGGAGGTGCAAGGAAAGTTAAGTAACTTGCTCACCATCAAACAGCTTGGAAGGGACATCTGATTTTGAATGTCGGCAGTCTTTCTCCGTAGGCTGTGCTCTCGGCCACTATGTATGTGACCTGTCTCGATACTGTGATATGGTTTCCTCCCCCAAAGTCCTTATCATTTCTAAACGCCCCTGGTTATCCATTCCACAAACATTCCCTGTGAGCTTACAGTGTGTCAGGACCTGCACTAGATAGTAAAAGAGACAATGACTATACACTCCAGGAGCTAAAGTGCTAACGGGGAGACAGAATAAACAAGCAAGTCTATGAATCACATCAGCAACTAGTTATTCTGACTGGTTAGAATTAGTCCTGCACGGTGCTCCTCTTGTCACTTTATCTTCATTCTGAGAGATACACTAATAAGTCAAGAGCCATAAAACAGCTGTGTGAGGCCATAAAATGTCATGGGCCTCGGGGTCAGACAGGTGTGCCCAGCTCCTCATTTTATGAGCTGCACAAATGAGGCAAATCACTGTATTTTTCCGACCACCCGTTCTCTCATTTTTAGATTGTATTTATTCACTTGAGAGAGAGAGAGAGAAAGAGAGCTTGAGCATGAGTGGGGAGGAACAGAGGGGGAGGGAGAAGCACATTCCCTGCTGAGCAGGGAGCCAGACACGGGGCTCCATCCCAGGACCCTGCGATCAGGATCTGAGCCAAAGTCAGAAGCTCAACCAAGCCACCCAAGTGGCCTCCTATATAAAATAAGGATAACATTCCCGACTGTGTGGGTGGTTGGGAGGGATCAGAAGTCACGGCGAGTGGTGCCCAACACTGAGCTGGGTTCCCTAAGTGCTGGTTGTCATGAGATGCTTTGTCAAAGCCCAAACTAGATGTTTAGGAGTTATCAGGAGGGTTTAATTCTCCATTTCATAATTACAGCTCACAAATGGTTCCCTTTTCACTACTTTCTGTGTTATTTTTGCTCTGACTGACATATGTGAATAAAGAACTTGGAGATAAGAGATCAGAGGTTGGGTCCTATCCTTCACTTACTGTACAACCCTGGGACACCCATGTCATCTGTCTGGGGTTGGCTTCCTAAACTACAAATTGAGAACTTTAGGCGAGTGCTGGGTTTTTCCAATTTGGGGCCAGGGCACCTTAGTGGGTATGTTGTCAATTTAAAGGGTTTGGACAAGTTGGAGGATTTTTATTTTTTATTTTTATTTTTTAAAGATTCTATTTATTTATTCGACAAACGAGATAACAAGTAGGCAGAGAGAGAGAGAGAGGAGGAAGCAGGCTCCCCGCCAAGCGGAGAGCCAGATGCAGGGCTCGATCCCAGGACCCTGGGTTCATGACCCGAGCCGAAGGCAGAAGCCCCAACCCACTGAGCCACCCAGGCGCCCCAAGTTGGAGGATTTTTAAATGCAAGAATGGAATGGAATCGCTCAGAGTCTATTGCAAAGACCAAGGGAAGTTTTGTTTCATGCAACTTTCATTTCAGTTTTACATACTATGTTTATGTGAATATTGGTTATGAAGTAAACTATTATTTCTTACTGTTGGGCTTTGTCAAAAAGTTTGGAAAACACTAGTTTAGGTAATCTTGAAGGCCCCTCCAGCTCCAATGGTCTGTATTTCCCCTAACAGTAACACTTTTGTTCTCTGCTCTTCTCAAGAGAGGGTTACTATGTTGTCAAAAGGCAAGAACTAAACAAACCAGACATCAAAAGCTGTTGCTGCCAGTTTTGATGTGAAGACTCCTTTCTGTGTGAAACTGCATAATTCCAAAGAAATCCCAGTGGGAGAATTCTCATGTCCTTGTGTTAATGGGAAAGAGGGAAAAATATTGATTGACTTATACTTTGTTAAATATGCATGTCAACATTTAATAAAGTATTTAACTTCCAAACCAATGGAAGGGGAAGGATGGAGCCAAAGGAAAGGAAAACAAGATCTCAACGTAAGAAAAGGAGGAGGGGCGGAAAGTCAAACATAGAAAAGTGGGGCAAAGAAAGAACAAAAGAAGATACTGGAAATTAATCCAAATATACTGACAGTCAAGCTCAATGTTAATTGTGGTATTGCTTTTTTTTTTTTTTAAAGATTTTTTTTTTTTTTTTTTTTAAATTTGACAGATCACAAGTAGGCAGAGAGAGACAGGAGGAAGAGGCAGGCTCCCTGCTGAGCAGAGAGCCCGACGCGGGACTTGATCCCAGGACCCTGAGATCATGACCTGAGCCGAAGGCAGAGGCTTTAACCACTGAGCCACCCAGGCGCCCCTGTGGTATTGCTTTTTAAGAAACAGGTAAATCTAAACAATTTGATGTCTACCATTACATCCATATGTGGTAAAAACCATAAGGAAAAGCAAGATGATTAACAAGAAATTTATAATACAGTTATTTCTCTATAAGGGGGTGGTCACTAGGACAGGTCCACATAGGCAATGCTGAAGATATTGGAAATGTTCTATTATGCTGCCTGGCAGGTACATAGGCATTTTTTAAAAAGGATTTTATTTATTTATTTATTTGACAGAGAGAGGCACAGCAAGAGAGGGAAGACAAGCAGGGGGAGTGGGAGAGGGAGAAGCAGGCTTCCCGCTGAGCAGGGAGCCCGATGCCGGGCTTGATTCCAGGACCCTGGGACCATGACCTGAGCTGAAGGCAGACTCTTAAAGACTGAACCACCCAGATGCCCCTACATATGCATTTTAGAAGTTTTTTTAAAATTCCTTTAAGTGTTATTCTTTATACGATACATATGTCATTTATAATTTTGTTTGAATGATCTATTTCGCACATACACATACACACATACACATTTATAAAAGTAAATTGCCAATATGCTTTCCTAAAAACTATTTCTTAAATCAATTTTGTTTTTAAATCATAAAAGCTTTTTTTCCCCTCAGAATAAAATTCTAGTTTAGATTAGTCAGGGGACCTAAACACTCTAAATAAAATCTCCAAACTGACGTCTTGTTTGTCACAATGTAGTAATTCATGTATATTTTCCCTTTGCATTGCTTTACATACAATAATTCATTCGATCAATACTTGACAAACTTTACCTTGAGCAATGATTATATATGCCAGGCACTGCTGTAAGAATTTTATATGCATTAACCCTTTAATCTTCATGTCAGCCCTAAAAATATTATGAACACCGCCTAATAAAATACTAATGTTACTCTCTTTTTAAAACTGAGGAAGATGGAGTATAGAGAGGCGAGGTAATATGGTCAAAGGCATAGAGCTGATAAACGGAAGAGCCAGGATTTGAACCCAGGCAGCCTGGCACCAGGGGCTGTGCTCCTGTCCACATGCATGCCTGCTTAGCAATGGACAGAGAGTCTGTTTACTAAAGAGAGCTATGGGGGAGGGAGAAGGGCACTTCTCTTAGAGTCCCATCTTAGAGCTTAGAGCTTAGAGTCCCATCTTAGTGGGACTTAGAGCTCTTAGAGTCCCATCTAGTGTATGTCCCATCTGACTGTGAAGCTCATATATAACAATTAAGTCATGCTTAGGTTTGCTAGCATAAAGATTTTCTGTCCGGAAGGAAGGAAGGGAGGAAAGGAGGGGAGGAAAGAACGGAGAAAGAATTCCAACAAAAATATAAGCTGGCCGTAGGAGTAAGAAGAAAGAAAAATCTGCTGACCTTTCCTTTCTACTGTTTCCAAGAACAACAGAGGCAAATCTTCTTTGACAGAGCAGCCCAGACACCCTCCACTGTCAGAGACCCTGAGCTGCGGCATGTTGTCTGAGGTGATGGCCACACACACGGCGTGAAACCTGGGAAAGATACCGCTCCCAGACTCCTCCACCCAACAGCCAACTTCCTGCACCAAACACATCTCAGCAGAGATGCGAGGTTCATCTAATACTTCATTCTTTTGGGGCGGAGGTTACTGTATGTCGGCAGCTAGATATGAGGCCCCCAAAATGATTTAGGAGGAGAACATATTGGGAATGGTTTTGGCCCTGGGAGTCTGTAATCTCAGAGAAATTCTTAGAAAATGCAGGGGATGCCATAACAAACAGATGGGCAATTGGCCTATTTCTTACAAAGGGGA